CGCGGGCCTCTCACTGCTGTGGCCTCTCCCGTTGCGGAGCACAGGCTCCGGACGCGCAGGCTCAGCGGCCATGGCTCACGGGCCCAGCTGCTCCCCGGCATGTGGGATCTTCCCGGACCGGGGCAAGAACCCGTGTCCCCCGCAACGGCAGGCGGACTCTCAACCACTGCGCCACCAGGGAAGCCCAGGTGTGATTTTTAAAAATCTATAACTATAACATATTGCTGTGTGGCTTTAGCCACTTTCAGTTTTGATTATTTCTAACAGTCTGCAGACTCATTTTTCCCATTTATAAAATGGGGATAATCATAATAATAGTGTCCTTCTCATGGGATTATTGTGAGGATTAAGTGGGCTAACGCAGATAAGTACTTAGCATGGTGCCTAGTGAAATTCCTAACATAAAAGGCCCTTTTTGATCTGCCCTTCCCTCCCCACAACCTCTCTAGACTCATCTGCTTTCAGGTCCTCTCTGTTCCGCTGGGCTTTGTGTTGTTTTATTCCTCCATGTCTTCACACAGACTGGCCTTTCCACCTAGAATTTTCTCCCTTCCCTTCCCTTCCCTTCCTCCATCCCTGCCCCTCCCCCACGAGACCTCGTGTTAGCAAATTCCTATTTTTTTCTTCCAAATGCAACTCGACTCTTATTTCATCTATAAAGCCTTTCTTGGCTTGCCCCTTTGACCCTCTCTGCTTCCATCCAAACTTGGGGACATTACCAGTGTCTTTTTCAACACCTGTAATGTAATAAATGCCTGATAAAGTTCAGTTGAGCAAATGAGTGTGTTCAACCATTCCTTCTCTACTGAAATGTCTTCATATTCCACCAATGTCTCTGCCTTCTCTTTGCCTTCTTTCCCAGTCACTTCCTAATTATCCCCATCACTCCCAGGTAGAATTTACTCCACTTCCACACTCTTCAGACTGTCATTATATGCCAAATGATGGCGGATGGAAAATTACACCCTTTTAAGCCAGCAACCCTATGGGGAAAAAAGGGAAATTCGGGCTCCCCTGGTGACGCAGTGGTTGAGAATCTGCCTGCCGATGCAGGGGACACGGGTTCGTGCCCCGGTCCGGGAAGAGCCCACCTGCCGCGGAGAGGCTGGGCCCGTGAGCCATGGCCGCTGAGCCTGCGCGTCCGGAGCCTGTGCTCCGCAACGGGAGAGGCCACAACAATGAGAGGCCCGCGTACCGCAAAAAAAAAAAAAAAAAAAGAAAGAAATTCAATAATCCCGTTGTGTGAAAGCTTTGGGTGGTTTTCCCTCACCCTTGATAGGAAATCTCAAAGCCTCCCCACAGCTGGACGAGTCCTATGTGCTCTAGCCTCTGCCTACCTCTGCAGCCCTTTTTCCCAGCAATTTGGCCACAAAGACTTCTCCATCCTCAAATGCACCATGCTCCCTACTACAACATGGTCTTTGCCCATGTTGTTCCCTCTTATCGAAACCCTATCCCACCACCACACTCCCTTTACCTGGATTCCACTTATTCTTAAATGTGACTCAGGCTAGGCTAAACCACTTTGTTATGTGAGCTCATTGACACTACTGGACTAGTGCGTACCAGTACACCTCAGAGAATCTGGATCCCTGGCCCAGGAAAAAGCACTGTGACCTTTACCTGTCATTCCATCTCTCTCCAAGTCTCAATTTCCCCACCTATTGAATGGAGATAGAATACTCATCAAACCGTCTACAGGGACTTCCCTGGTGGGGCAGTGGTTAAGAATCCGCCTGCCAATGCAGGGGACACAGGTTCAAGCCCTGGTCTGGGAAGATCCCACATGCCGTGGAGCAACTAAGCCCGTGCACCACAACTGCTGAGCCTGCACTCTAGAACCCATGAGCCACAACTACTGAGCCTGTGTGCCACAACTACTGAAACCCGCATGCCTAGAGCCCATGCTCTGCAACAAGAGAAGCCACCACAGTGAGAAGCCCACACACCACAACGAAGAGTAGCCCCTGCTCGCCGCAACTAGTGAAAGCCTGCACGCAGCAACGAAGACCCAATGCAGCCAAAAATAATAAATAAAAAAATAAAAATTAAACAAGCCATCTAGAAAACAGTGGATTAAGAAAACCAATATGAATGAAAGCTCTTTATAAATAGGGAATCATACAATCTCAAAGGCTGAAAAAATTGCAAAATATCTTTTGGAAGATAATTTTTCACAGTATCAAAAGTCATAAAACTGTTTATCCTCATTGACCTAGGCATCCCACTCCCAGAATATATACTACAACAGGGGCTTCCACCCTTTTTCTATCAGTCTACCCGGAATGTTTCCATGGATGGCACATTCCTAGATTATAGACTGAAACCTGTTTGAGCTAGGACGTGGATTATGTACAATTCCCATTTCCTTGCCACTCGAGAAGACATATCCCAGTGAAGGGTGTTATTCTGGGAATCGTTTGGATTAAGTAATTGACCAAATGCAGCACATCACTTATTAATAAATTGTTTGCAAGTTCTGCAACCCCTCAAGACACAGCAGCATCTTGGCATTCAAGTTCAGAGCTGCCATTCTTTCAAAATAACTCAAAAGAATGAAAAAATGCACATACATATATGTTGGGCAATAATGATAGTAATAATATCAGCTCTTTCCTGTCCATTCCCTTATTGCCTCCTTATAAATAAAGGTCCTGTGAGGTAGACAGGAGGGATTTCTATGGATGGACCCCCTGCTTGGGGTCATATTACCTGAACCTATAAGGTTTTCAGGCTGTGATTCCTTGGGCATGTCACTTAAAATCTCTAGGTCTCCTTTTACTCAAATTACTTCCAGAGTTATTGAGTGGTTAAAATGGGGTACTGGACGTGATATACTTTGAGATGTAAATGCTGCACAAAGGTGGCATGTCTCAGTGTGCTGAGCTGGGACCAATAATAATATTTTAGGTCCAAAAAGTGGCCTTCCCTTTATCCACTCATGTTAAGCAACACCCTACGATTTCTAGTCAGTCTTCATAGTGGCACACCTAAGACAAGGATAAAACATGATCATAACAAGGCAAAATAAATATTTATTAGAAATCATAAAAGCATTTCTTCAATGGCACTAAAATGTTCTTACTGCATTTATGACTTCTTTCTTGAACACAGAGTTTCACACACACACAACACTAAAAACAAGATGTAAAAGGAATTTGCAAGGATCAGGCACATTCAGTGAGAACAAGGTGACAGTTCTGTGTTTGGGACCAAGATCACAGCAAAAACATATAAATCAATGCAGAGATCAAATATGACTTACAGGCCCAGATGACGGCCCATCTACCGGGGCCCTACCCAGAGCAAAAGGACTTAGCTCACCAGGCCTTGTGGAAGGAAAAGGTCAATAACCCTGGGCTCCAGGGCAGGCAGGAGCCCTCTAAGAGCATAATGACTTCACAGTACAGCCTTGAACTCCTTCTCCCACCGCGGCAAGGAGGAAAGTAAGCACCATTTTAATTCCAAACAGATATATCACATAATTTCTAAAATAATGGATTCTTCCTGAGGCAGAGTTTAGTTAAAAGAAAATTTCCAGCCAAAACTGTTATCTGAGCATGGGAGATTCCATCCCTGGAAAATGCCTTCCCCTTAAATTACTGAAATGTGAATCATTTAAGATGTCCTGGTACACCTGTGGATTCAGTGGGGCGTGGTGTGTGGTTTTGTACA